GTATACAGACGTCGGTTTTTTTGGGTAATGACGTTGTTTGTTAGAACAACGACGGTGATGTACCCTAACCGCTATTTCCACGTCAATATTAATGGAAAAAATGAAGTGGAAAAAGTATTTCACGACGGTTATATAAATACATTGGACGTCGTATGTTTAAATAACGTCGGATTTAATTTATTTAAAGACGTATTGTATTTATTTAAACGACGGAGTTTGTATAAAATAGGTCGTTTATTCTTATCCTTTACAATTTTTTGGCTCATTTTTCAGTATACAGACGTCGGTTTTTTTTTTGGTAATGACGTTGTTTGTTAGAACAACGACGGTGATGTACCCTAACCGCTATTTCCACGTCAATATTAATGGAAAAAATGAAGTGGAAAAAGTATTTCACGACGGTTATATAAATACATTGGACGTCGTATGTTTAAATAACGTCGGATTTAATTTATTTAAAGACGTATTGTATTTATTTAAACGACGGAGTTTGTATAAAATAGGTCGTCTATTCTTTTCCACGACAATTTTTTGGTTCATTTTTCAGTATACAGACGTCGGTTTTTTTTTGTTCATGACGTTGTTTGTCATTACAACGACGGTGATTTCGCGTTGTGGTTTTACTTTGCAAAAGATGTCGGTCGATTTTACGACGGTTTGAAAACCCGATACACGACGGTGAATTTCCGTCGTCTTTTGCCTTTTTTGTAGTAGTGCTTATTTGTACTACTAAAAATGATTGTATATTATCTGGTTCGTGATTATGGATGAAGAACTATGTGTGGATTGATCCCTCAGTAAGGGTACGTAGTTAGCCTGGGGTCCCACTCGGGTGCAGCCGCGAACTAAAGATATTTATGGAACTTTACTTTAGTCGTTTGGATTTAATCTCACTTTCTTTTGGTTTTTGGATGAGTTTGGTGTTGACCGTGTCGGTGGTTTTAAAGCTCGTTTGAAAACAAGGCTTGATTTAATGAATATTCTTTTTCCCGTTGGACTAAGTGAGTGTTGTTAAAGTGTGGTTGTGGCCAAGACAAGTTTGAAACTCGTTTTGGATTGTTGTACAATTTGGGGCTGAGTGCTTAAACTACTTGTTTGTTAAACATCACATGATGGAAATTGAGAAGTTATTTTATGTTAATTATGGTGGGCATGCATAATTTAATTCGAATTCATTATTTGCTTTGTTAAATCTCATTATTTGACTTAAGAGCTTCGCTGGTGGTTCTATTTTGAATTATTGAAGGTCAGAGGCCTAGTTTGTAAACTGCTTGAAGGTTAACTTGTGCATACTGCTAGTTATGGATATTAATTGTGTTTTTAAAAGGTTGAACTTTTTGGGAAAAGTCCAATTTACAAAAGAGACTCTATCGAAATTTCTGCAGAAAGTCTCCTGCCCCTTTTCTTTATTTTGAAAAAGAGGGTTTAGTATTAGTAAGTGGGCCTGACATCGGGGTGATGTCAGAATTTTCCACAGGATTTTGTCTTGGGTTCTGAAGAATTCGGGGCGGGTACTGTCACCTCGTCATCTAAGTACCCTTTGCAATTGGTATCAGAGCGTCAGCTTTTAACATAAATAGAGAGATCCTAGGATTTGTTTTGGTGTTTAGGTGCGCTCACTATGGAAAGGGATTGAGTTGCTAGATCTTGCAACTCCCCCTCTTACTTTGATGGAAATAATTATGCTGCATGGAGAGAAAAATTCGAGATATTCCTTGATACTTTTGATGAGTATGCAAACGAATATCTCACAAAAGAGTGGATACCTCCAGTCAGGACTGTTGAAGGTAAAGTTGTGCCCAAACCTAGGTCAGAATGGACTGAAACTGAGTCATTTGCTGCACATTCCAACAAGAAGGCTAGAAAGGCCTTAGTTACAGCCTTGTCTAGCACATAGTTCTCACACATACAACACATTCCTAATGCTAAACAGGCTTGGGACAAACTAAGGGTTGTTCGTGAAGGGGGTGACCAAGTTAGAACACTAAAACTTCAAATGGTGCTTGCACAATTTGAAGAACTTAGGATGTCTAAAACTGAGTCTATCTCTGAGTTCTATGGGAGAGTTGAGATGATAAAAAATGAAGCTTTGAGTCTTGGTCAACCTATTGATGAACTTCTTGTTGTTCAGAAGATTCTTCGTGTTCTTCCTTCTAGGTTTAGAGCGAAGAAAACCACAATCATGGAAATCCAAAATTTAAATGAAATTAAGCTTGGCAAGCTTATAGGTAAACTGAAAACCTATGAGATGGAGTTGATTATGGAAGAAAATGACACTAAAAAATCAAAGAATGTTGCACTTCAAGGGTGGAGAAAAATTCTCAGCTTTTGAGGATGAGATGGCTTTGTTTGTTAAAAAATTTAGAAGAATTCTCAAGAATAAGGGGAAGTTTGCAAGAGAGGATAGTTCTAGTAGTGAGAGAAAGTTTAGATCATCAACTGATCGGTCTAATGAGCGGAACAAGGATGTCAAACCCTTCACTAAAGACTTTAGGAAATCAGTCAAATGCTTCACATGTGGAGGCATTGGGCACTATGCTGCCGATTGTGCAAATAACCAGAAAAAATACTCCAAAGGAAAGGACAAAGCCATGAAAGTAAGTTGGAGTGAGAGTGAGAGTGACGTATCTCAAGAGGATTCATCGTCCTCTGATGATGATGATCAACAAATTGCCTTCGTTGTCTTTGTACAATTGTTGTTTGATGATTCTACTTTTGATTCAGATGACTAGTCATATGAGTCTTTAGGTAGAAAATATGACTATTTGTTCAAAGAGACGTTTTCCTTGAAAGAGGAAAATTTCAAACTTGAGGCAAATAACCATGAACTCCAACTTGAAGTTCTCACTTTAAAAGAAACCAAAAAGGAGTTGAGTGACAAATTTGAGTCCTTACAAAATGAAATTGTTGAGCTTGTGTCAATTAGGAGAAATCTTGAAAATCAAGTAAATGTACTTAAGGAGAGCAACATTGGTTTCCTAAATTCAAACAAACAGCTCCTAGGTGAATTGAATGAGGCAAAAAGTAAGGTTATATCAATGACCATTGGTGTCTCAAAAATTGACAAAATGTTGAATATGGGAAAACTTCATGGGGACAAAGGTGGTCTTGGATTTAATCATTTTGATTCTAGTGCGTCTAGCTCTACCACTAAGTTCGTCAAGTCTAAAACTCCAGCCATTGCACCTCTTGATGTACAGCAGGTAGTCAAGAAACCAAAGTTTGTTCCAACTTGTCACAGGTGTGGGTTGACTAGTCATATTCGACCAATCTGTCATATGTACAAAAGAGATAAGACCAGAAAATTGTCTTCCAAGTCTAGAAGGAATCCTAGATCTTGCAGGTTGATCATTTGCTAAATGAAGTAACTAAGATTGCCAAACTTGTCTCCCTTAAAATGAATTCACCCATTGTGCTTAAGTCTACTTGGATTGCAAAAGGTCATACCAAAAATCTTGTTGTACTAAATGCTTTTGCTGCTTCAAACACCAACTCTTGGTACTTTGATTGTGGTTGTTCCAAACATATGTCTAGTGATAAGAGTGTTTTCTCATCTCTTAGTCCTTTTGATGGAGCCACCGTGACGTTCGGGGGAGGTCACAAGTCTCAAGTAGTTAGGAAAGGGAATGTGTGTATCCCTGGTTTACTCGAGCTTAAGAAAGTTATATTTGTTGAGGGTTTGACATCCAATCTCATTAGTGTAAGTCAGCTGTGTGATGATGGAGTAGTAGAAGTTAGATTTTCCAAGCATGGCTGCAAAATTGTTAGAAAAGGTGGTAATGAGATTGTAAGTGTGACAAGGTCAAGAGACAATTGCTACTGCATCAATGGAGTTGATGATGCAAAAGAAGTGGTTTGCAATAAGGTTGTGAATGAAACAAGTGTCTTGTGGCATCAAAGACTTGGACACGTGAATTTTAGAGACTTGCACAAATTTTCCAAGAGAGAGTTAGTGAGTGGTCTACCAAAACTTGACAAAATTGATCAACATGTTTGTGGAGGATGTTAATTGGGCAAGCAAGTTAGAGCGTCACACAAGAAGGTCAAACACATGCAAACAAAAGTAAGTCTAGAACCTGTTCACATGGACCTTGTTGGTCCTTGTCCCTTGGTGGCAAGAAATATATTCTAGTCATTGTTGATGATTTCTCTAGGTTCACTTGGGTCTCATTCTTACGTGAGAAATCTGAACCATTTCAAAGGTTTAAATCTGTCTGCCATTTTTGCAAAAAGAGAAGATGACTAGTCATCTGCCTCTTGTTAGAATTAGAACATATCATGGTTCTGAGTTTGAGAATTCTCAGTTTCTGAAATTTTGTGAGGAGATGGAGATTAAGCATGAGTTCTCTGCACCTATTACACCTCAACAAAATGGTGTTGTGGAGAGAAAGAATAGAGTTCCTGTTAAGATGGCTAGGGTGATGCTCAATAGCAAAAATCTTCCTAAACTTTTTTGGGCTAAAGCTGTAAATACAGCTTGTTACATCTCAAACAGGGTGTTTTTTAGGTATGGTACCAAACAAACTCCCTATGAGCTTTGGAAAGGTAAGAAACCTAATGTGTCTTATTTTAGAGTCTTTGGTAGCACATGTTATATCTTGAGAGATAGGGAACACCTTGCTAAGTTTGACTCTAAAAGTGACAAGGGAATATTTCTTGGGTATTCCACTTCAAGTCAATCCTATAGAGTATACAATTATAGGACCGGAACCATCATTAAGTCCATAAATGTCAATATTGATGATTTTGCTGCCTCTACTGAGATGGCATTAGATAAGGATGGTTGTTTATCTCCTATGCTTGAGGGAGAATCTCCAGGTCTGGATCTAGTGGTTGACCTGTCAACTTTTAGCAAATCGGTTGACTTGTCAACTCTTGACAATTCTGTTCCAGTTGACCTGTCAACTTGTCATAATCAACCTCATAATCCCAGCTCATCTGTCCTTGTTGATAGCTCTCGAGCTGATTGTAGTCACCTCACTCAAATAGAGAGTGTCATTATTGGTCATCTGAATCATGGAGTGAGAAGTAGGAAACAACTAGCTAAGGAAATTAGCCATGTGTGTTATGTCTCAAAGGAAGAACCTAAGAATGTGAAAGAGGCTTTGAACCATGGTGAATGGTTTCTTGCAATGCAAGAGGAGTTGAATCAGTTTGTTAGAAATGATGTTTGGTACCTTGTTCTTAGACCAACCAACACAAATGTTATAGGTACTAAGTGGATTTTCAAGAACAAAACTGATGAACAAGGTAATGTTGTTAGAAACAAGGCTAGATTGGTTGCTCAAGGTCATACTCAAATGGAGGGTATTGACTTTGATGAAACCTTTGCCTTGGTTGCAAGGTTAGAATCAGTGAGATTACTACTTGCCATTGCTTGTCACTTGAAATTTAAACTTTATCAAATGGATGTTAAAACTGCATTTTTGAATGGTATCTTGCATGAGGAGGTCTATGTTGAGCAACCAAAGGGCTTTGAAGATCCACATCATCCTAATGATGTGTTTCGATTGAATAAGGCACTATATGGCTTGAAACAAGCTCTTAGAGCATGGTATGATATGCTATCCTTTCACCTTCCAGGAAATGGTTATGTTAGAGGGTCGATTGACAAAACATAGTTTGTAAAAAGGTTCAAAAAGGATGTTTTGATTGCTCAAGTGTATGTTGATGATATTGTGGTTGGTTCTACCTCTAACTTGCATGTTCAAGAATTTATCCATGTCATGACTAGTGAATTTGAAATGAGTCTTGTCGGTGAGATTAATTATTTCTTAGGTCTTCAAATCAAACAACACCATGATGGGATCTTTGTTTCTCAATCCAAATATGCAAAAAATCTTGTGAAAAAAATTTGGTTTGGAGGCTGCAAAATCTGCAAGAACTCCAATGAGCATTGGTGCTAAAATTCATAGAGACTTACATGGGAAAAGTGTCAACCAAACTCTCTATGGAAGCATGATAGGAAGCCTTCTTTACTTGACTGCTGGTAGACCTGACATTTCTTATAGTGTAGGAGTGTGTGCTAGGTTCCAAAGTGATCCCAAAGAGTCTCATTTATTTGATGTCAAAAGAATCATAAAATATGTGACTGGAACCATTGATTTTGGTTTGTGTACCTATGACACTAGTGTCAATTTTGTTGGGTATAGCGATGCCGATTGGGCTGGGTGTAGTGATGATAGGAAGAGTACTTCTGGGGGAGTCTTTTATGTTGGAAACAATCTTGTTGCTTGGCAAAACAAGTGTACGTTTTGGGCCTTGCAAGTTGACTGCTGAAAATAGACTGGAATTGACTCATGGTGTGCATTTTGAAGGGCCCACGGATTGGGCTAGGCTTCATCAATTGATACATTTGAGTAGTCCATCTTGCAGTTCAGAATCTCTTCTTTCCAACCACATATTAATTGGGCCAATACAAGTTGGGAGGAGGAAGCTAAGGCCGAAACAAATTGCTAACTCAGTGGGCTTATTTTTGCACCATTTTGCATCTTTTCCTATCCAAAGCCACCATTGCTACCTAAGGCCCAAAGAACTGAAAGATAAACAGAAAAGGGATTAAAAGCACAAGTTTAACTCAATAACATAACCAAATCATAAGCTAGAGGGGCACAAAATGATATACAATTATGAACTGATCATTGTCGTTGTCTCTTAACTTATCTCACTTTCTTAGCCAATCTATCCAATTTTATTTATTTATTTTTAAAAAAAAGGGGAAGTGTGACCAATGTAGTCACGGCTCTAGGAAGGTATAAGGTGATATGATTGATGCGTCTAGAGCAAAGAGCCGTAAAATTGGGCCACTCAAACACTTAAGTCTGGGATGTGCAAATGAAACAAAAAAAAAAACAAATATTTTGTCAATAGAGAGTGATGATACTTAAATCTTTGAGCCTATACTTTGATAATGTCATAAAGTTTCATTGTGTACCTGTCTCTCCAAGAGAGATAAGATATCATCTCTTGTGTCCCTTGGCTCTGAACCTCCCTATTCCAAAATATGCCTTGTCTCTAAGCATGAAATTGTCTGCCGCGCAAATCTCACGGCCTGGAGTTCCGGGCCGAGGGGATATGCGTTAACACGCGGTTTCCTGCTTTTGGGTGCGGTGCGGTTTGTGCGCGGGCGTGCCAGCACGGTCTACCGTGCGTCGATGAATTGATGAGTGTTGGATGGTTGAGTGGTGCGCCTGTTTGAACTCGTCTTCCTAATCAAACGATTGTAGCCGAGAGAGGAAATGGTCTCGGCTGTTAGGTTCACGGCCTGAACTACAAGGCCGTTGAGTGATGGTGTAGGTGGTGGGTTTTGGGCGGTGCTCCGGCGCACTGCTCAGGGAGCGACGGTCGTATGATATATGGGGTGAATGAACGGACAACAAGGATGGTGCTCCGGCGCCTTGAAAATCAAGGGTCGTATGATATATTGATGAATGGGTTTTCCTTACAATCTACCACTACGGTGCTCCGGCGCCTTGAAAATCAAGGGTCGTATGATATATTGATGAATGGATTTTCCTTACAACCTAACACTACTCCTAGGAAAGCAAGTAAAGATATTGAAAGTGCATTACAGGAAAAAATAAGTTGCTCCGTGGGAGGCTTTGTTTTGGTGTTGAACCCTTTGAATGTAGCTCGAGTCTTGTATTTATAGGAAGGGTCCCTGGAGGAGTAATCGAGGCTAAAAATCTGCATGGTGGAGCTGGATTGGATCAAGTGGGCAGTCCAATCGACA